ACCGTATGGCCCTACTTGTGATTTTTATGTAGCTGTTAGCAAAGTTTTAAACATTATTTACCTCACTGCGTGAATTTTTCTTAGGAGTTTGGAGTTTTTCGGGCATTTCAGCATGTGTTGTTACCGAATTCCATTTGAATTCTCACGTTATGACTAGGAGAGGATGTTGCCGACTTACGAGAGGCCCTGAATTCTGTCTTAGCGCTATCCAGAGACATATCTAGATCCACGGTAGAAGGGGTAATTTAGAAATAGCATTATAGTTCACAAGTCTTTCGTTTGGTTTCGTGTTCTGTGGAGCTATTCTTGTGACATTTGAGAGGGATGAGGCTACGAGATCTACCGTGTTGGTCGTGTGCTCATCGACTTCGATGACTTGTCCTTCCTACCATTAGGTTTAGTGAGGTGATTGTAAGCACGTCTTTCAGTCACTGTCTTATCTACTACAACTTTTATTTGTTTGTAGCTCGTGTCCTGTAATAGGATACATTGTGTACTGGTGAATTTCTTAGCCTCTATCTCTGTTTCAAACTGAAGGCATATAGGGCAGCAGTGGTCGTGCTGACTCTTTTTCAGTCTGTGACATTTTGTTTGGGAGTTAGGCATTTTCGCTGCCACAAGTAAGATACTTTGAACCACTTTCAACCCCTCATTATCCGGTATATTGTAGACTATCACACTTAGGGTTCAGTATCTAGTCTTTTGATAACCTCTGTTGTGATAAAGATTATCAAGGTGTCTACCTTATTTACTGGTTCTGGTCAGGATGCTAAGAGGTGAAACTTCGCAGACCTGCGATTTTATGTCACTAGTCTGTGTTGATAGTTCTAATATGCTGGCCTTATTTTCTGAATATCCTGCATTCATAGCCTTACTACACCTTATATCCCGCATCTCAGTCTTCAGCTCTTCCACTGACAGCTTTAGTCGTTCTATTTCTGAAGTGATTTTTGGAGCTGGACTTGGTATCTAAAGTTTTGTGACATGTATATAAGGTGAATTGAAGAGGTACACGTCAGGACCAAGTTTTGGGTTTGTAGAAGCGATGTTACTTTCAGTTGTCGGCAAAGTTCAACAATAGCGTCCCAGGAGTACGAACGCACGAGTGACCTTCATCTGACCAATCATAAAAATGAGGAATGTTTGCTCAAAAATGATGCACATTGACAAGAAAATGCTTGAAAACGCACTAACATAGGTTATCTTTCTCTGACAATGCTTAAAAGTACGTCCTAGTTGTAACGAGGAGTATCAGTTGCGAAGTTAGACTAGTTTCTGTACATGTATTCACCGAGATGACTGCACATAAACTGTTTTTGTGAATCGTTTATCTCTCTGATTCCGCTTCCAGTCTTCCAAAAAAGCCTGCGGTTGAATTATTATGCTTTCCAGCAAGAGGATAGACGACTACTTACCAGGAAAACGTGGATAATAAAAAATTAAAATAAATGACATCAACTATAAATCTATCCATAAGTTTAGTGCTGACCCTAACACTAAACCTAACCTTAATCCTAACCCTTATTCAAACCGTAATTCTAACTCTGATCCTAACTCCAATACTTACCTTAACCCTAATCCTAACTGTAACGAGCTATGAACACATCGTCGAAACAGTTCTCAACGTGATCTGGGTGAAATTTGCTGGTAAGTTGGTAGATGGCGTAGATATTATAGCTGTGATAGTGACAGATGTCGTTAACCAACGACTAGCATGCGTTCAGTGTCATTGGAGCGTTCACACTTCTTGGACGCTATTGTTGAACTTCGCCCAGTTGTCAACATATTTTTGCTGTCACTTCCTGCGACAGTAAATGGCAGTGACACAGGAGCTCGACGCTCGCGGCGTATTGGCAATCTGTAGGTCTGAATTCCATATTTTTTGGTTGTGTTGTGCTAAGTCATCAGGTTAACAGGTGACTTAGTTCGCGACCTTCTATATGACTAACCATAACTAATTACTGAAAGGGTTATTGGTTACAATTATGGAACTGGAGAAACAGTTGTGCAAGTCTCACAGCAAAAACAGAAATATATAGTGACCAAGCTAAATTGTGGCGTAAACGTTGAAAGTACTGGTTACTTGTGCGCTACCAATACAGTTTTGTCGGATAGCATTTTTCTGACAGCTCATTATGTAACCTGAAGGTCTCGGTCCTGATTCCTGGTGCGGTCAAATGTACGCAGATTGTCTCAAACAAGGATGAAACAGCTGTGCAGTACTCCCTGGTTTTAAATGGTTTTGTAACTGAAATCACTTTGTGCTCAACCTTGTAATCAGTTAAATTTTACATGTGACAGCAAAAATACTCCATGCAAAACAAGGAATGATTACTTTATGTATGAATAAGACAACCCTTACATTTGCAGAAAACTTTGATAAGTTGAAGGAAATGATTGAGTCCAATATTACTAGATTACGTTTAGTGCACAACTTATTTGCCACAGCCATGTCGAAAGAATTATTCATTTTTATTAAAATCAGTTTTTTTTAGGCTTCTAGTTGTTTTACCTCTTCCTTTTCAATGTCACAATTTTCTGTAAGTTTGCAGTAACGTGTTGGATTATTCCCGTTGCGTGTATTTTTGATGTAACCAGAATAATAAAACGCTTTCATATATATTTCCCTGACTGTCTGACTTTCACTATAGAAATTCGAACAAAAATACACAACTTCAAGCTGCCACATTCTATGTAGCACACAATGGCGTATAAAAAATTCAAAAGAACTATACTAGGCAGAAATATGAAGAAGGAATAGTAAAATGGAGATACGTGAGATTTCAGAGAATATGGGAGACCAGAGAGTGAATGCATCTGCAACAGTGAAAACGATTTCCAACTCTATTACGAATAGTCTCTAGCCATCAGTCCTTATAATTCCGATGATCCTCACCAGGAAGCCTGCACCTCCTTACGTAGCTGGTTCAAACCATCCATCACAGATCTCGTGGGGTGATACCAGATTTTCGTCTGACCACTATTAACTCTTTCCCAACCTAGTCCTATTTCGGCTACGCTGCTTATCGAGTATAGCTCGTAATGAGCAACACGTGTTATAATCATATCAATCGATACAGCCTCACAACCGATCGACATTCCCTCTTTAGCTGAAACTCTACGCCTAACCTCAACATTATTCATCTTACTGTATTCACTCATCACGGGACGCAGATACATCTATTTATTTTATTTTTGGTAACAGCTTGATTCCACACTGTATTTTTGGTACAAGTATGGAATTTTCAGCGTGGATATCGATAGCCCAAATTTCGCAGGCCGACCATAGATATCTGGTGTGCGCCGGTGTGGGCTCGAACCCCGGACCATGTGCGTGGTCGTCGAGAGTTCTAACCACTGTGCCGCCGACGCATGATCAAAGACAACTAGCTTTTTAACACCCTGCACTTTCAATAGCAATGTCTCACAGCCATAAAAGAAGACAGAGAGAAATGCTCCACAGCACACACGTCTTGTGATGGATGCCGGATATCACGTCCCCGCTATAGATAACGTAATTCGGAAACTGTAACACAAATCTTTATTATCAGTGTTGGGATTTCGTCGACAATCAATCCATCAGGGCTGATGCAGTTTTTCAAATAAATGGAAAGGAGCATAGACAAACCCCATATCTTTCAACTAGGAGTCCGTATAGTCCACTCCTACAGCATCATTTTACGTTTGGCAGGAGCGAATCGCACGTGGAAGATTTGTGCTCATCTGCATACTCTAAATTGTGACGAGACTATGCTGTTGACAACAAGTCAACCCTTAAGTCGCTAATGTCAGTTAGGGTCAACTTCGTTGAAGAACAATGAATTTTAAATGAACACCACAGCTGTTATCACAATCGCCAATGATGAAAAAGAATTACACAAAATAGCAGAAACAAAGGGAACTTGGACGACGACAACAACAGCAACATGGAATAAGGCCAAGAATTCCCGCAGAAGTAAATAATGCTGGTGATTGAGGGAATAATTGAAAAAAGTCATTTTTTAGTTAAATTATTCAAATAAGTGAAAATTAAAAAAAAAATGCAGATTGTCTTCACGCCACCATCAACAACAAAAACGGTGAAATAATAATAATAATAATAATAATCGTATCATCATTTTAAGATAAAAAGAAATATATTTCAAGTGATCGGACAAGTTATGATGTCCCTGTTCAAGCTGATCTATCTACACGTCACATCCACACACACACACACATACACAGTGGAGAAAGAACAAACATAGAGTGACCTAGAGTAAAATCGAAATTGATAAAAAATGCAGAAATACACAAGAAGAGTAAGTTGTCCGAGTGATGGTGAAATAAGAAGAGAAGACAAAGAGGAATTAGGTGTTATATAATATAACAACACAATATAACATAACGTAAAAAGATGCAGACAGTAATGAGCACAAAGAAAGGTTAGAAAACCCAAGTTAGGTTGATAGTAATAATATATATATATATATATATATATATATATATATATATATATAAATGCTAACCAAATAATAACAATTATGAAGAGATATTAAAATTCACAGTACAAACAAACAAATGCAATGATGTTTGTACACACGTATATAATATGTTTAGATGATTTATATATTATACACTATCACCTGAAAAATAAATCTCTGGAAACGCACACACGCAGACGACACCCAAAAGAGAAGACAAAAACAAATGCATGAAAAGTAAACGAACAACAAAGAACCATATGATCACAGATAAGTGTTTTTGTTTGAGAAGGTAAATTACAATAGTTTATATATATATATATATAGGGTCTAAAAAAGTTAGTAATCGCACAGGATAATTGCATAATTCATAATTGTTTCATAGATACATAAGAAATAAGGTATTCTGGTAAAGGTAAACGATTTGCTTTAATTCTTAATGAGTCAGTATAACCAAGAGCTCTTTGTATTGCTATCCTACAGATATGCTTTAGAGAATGTACATTACATTCTTCCCAATGTAACCATTGAGCTAATTCATCATCACCATGTATACATTCTTCTGGTATTATTCCATGCACTAATAACCATCGGGTGAAACTAGCTAAATTCACTGGATCACATCCATAATTTAATAATAATTTAACCATTGGTATATCTAATTTAGGAAATTTTACTGCCATATGCAATGGTCCAAGACCTTCATGATCAACACGATTAACTGATGCACCAGCGTCTAATAATTTACGAGCTAAAGCTAAATGACCGTGCAGCACTGCCACATACAATGGCGTTTTACCATTTTTATCAGCTGCATTCACATTGGCACCAGCTGTTAAGAGAAGATCAACAATTTCTGATCGTCCATGATATGTTGCTACATATAAAGGTGTTTTCCTATGTGAATCCATTTGATCAACCTTAACGGAAAAGAAAAAACTCAATTAAGACTGAAACTTTCAAATTTAATGTGGAAAAAATACATACATTGACTGACAAAAACCGATCGGAAAGGAGACTTACCTGTGTTCAATGATCATTTTCCAAAGTAATCCGATACGTCAGAAACGAAAAAAAGGTGTTTTACCGAGAAATTAGATGTAGAATTTATGATTCTCGAAAGAAGTTGAAAAACAACGGTCACCCCCCGAACACATATTCATGAACAAATATGGAAGATGTGAAGGCTTAAACAAATATCAAACACATCACAGTGGGAAAAAAGCTTGTCTTCATTCAATTCGATTTTAACGGTGATAATATTGTAGTGTGGTGAGAGCAGGCTGCTAGCCGATTGGTTGGCACTAATCTACGTTAAGGTCTAGGTCACTAATATGGGCCGTGAGAAAATATGAACAAGGCTGAGTCAACAACCAATCACAGCAAAGTTAACGTGGCAAAATATGATTCGCAGATAGAGAACTCTATTTGTCAAGGAATCCCGAAACAACCAATCAGAAGCCTGCGTTTGTCTACCTAAACAACCAATCAGATGACTGCGCTTGTCTATAATAATGTAGTTGAAATATGTATAAATACGTGTTGATTTTCATAATAAAACGATCTGTTGCTTCGCCCTTGTCTTCTGTTGTTACATTTGGTGTCGCTGCCTCCAGAAAATGAAGATCCCGTGGCCAGCTGCGTTTGAAGAAGGAGACATACGGAGCTTCTTACGTGACTTCGAGGCTGTTGCTGAGCTGGTGGGTGTCAAGGAGCAGGCAGCGAAGGCAGTTGTCTGGGGACGCTGTTGAGAGGCCGAGCGAAGGCTGCATATGACAGCGTAGACAGGTCAAATGGCACAGCGTCTTGGAAGAAATTGGTTGAACGACTAGTGTCCGAGTTTGACAGCGAAACAGACAGACAGCTAGCAATGCAGCAGTTCCGGTCAATGAAGCTTGGACCTGATGGAGACCCGCTAGTGTTGGCGGTGAAACTGACTAATCTACTTCGACGCGCGCTTCCCACTTTAGATGAAGAATCAGAAGCGCAGTTACTGTCTTCCCAATTCATCGAGAGTGTCCCAGACCACATTTCTCAGCGATTACAACTGGTTAACGCAACGCAGCCGATGGATATTAGCGAGCTGGCGAAGGTGACCAGACAGCTGCTGAGCACAACGGTAGCCGCTATAGACCAACCAAAACCAAACGAATATGAGCAGAAAATTGAAGCATTGCAGCGGGAAGTGGCGGCGTTAAAGTTGGCTGATAGAAAAGACCGGTGTTTTGAATGCGGTAAGCCGGGACACTGGAGAAGATACTGCCCAGAAAGGCGAAAAAGAAAAAATTTCAGACGGTATAATGCTTGTTCTTTCTTTCGTATGAACCTAGATTTAGTGGGGGCTATTGAGAAAGGCGCTCTGTATTCGAAGTTGCGAGTGAATGATCGAGAAGTAGTATGTTTGATAGATACAGGGGCGGCCGTGTCGTTAATAGATAAGAATTTATGTAAGAGTGTTAGCCCGTGTTCATTGACAGTACAAACAGTAGGCGGGTATGTGTTGCGTATCACGGGTAGATCGAACTGTACGGTCGTTGTTGGTGGCTGCGAGGTGACGTTTCCTTTCATTGTTGTACCCGAACTACAGCGAACGATATTAGGAGCGGATTTTCTGCGTGAGATTGGTGCCATAATCGACACGCAAGCGAACGTGGTGGTCACGAAATACGGGCATATCAACATGTATGAGACCAGCGAGATAGCAGCGATTAAGCTGCCGACGGTACACAATGTGACAGAGTTAATTAGTAAATACGATCATCTGTTCACTGGAGATGGCGACCCATACGGTTATTGCGATAAGGTGAATCATGAAATTCCGTTAAGTGATCCGAAAGTAAGGTCATTTACAACGCGAAGAGTTCCATGTCATCTGGAAGGCGAAGTGGAGCGACAAGTGCAAGAGATGTTAAAAGATGACATTATTGAGGAAGCTGATAGCCCGTACAACTCTCCAGTGCTGTTAGTAAAAAAAGCGAATGGGAAGTATAGATTCTGTGTTGATTTTCGACAGTTAAACAGTATGACAGAGTTAAGACCGTGTGCCATGCCAACAGTGGTAGAAACTTTAGATCGCCTACAAGGTGCGAATGTGTTTTCGGTTCTCGATCTTCGCTCAGGATACTGGCAGATACCGATAAAACAAGGTGATAGAGATAAGACGGCTTTCATCGTGGGTCAGACACAATATCGATTTAAACGCATGCCGTTTGGACTAGCAGGTGCACCGTTTACGTTCAGACGACTGATGAAGCTATTACTTAGGAACTTGAAAAACGTGGAGGTTTATGGTGATGATCTCGTCATATACAGTCAAAACGAAAACGATCACGTCAACCATGTAGAAGCCGTGCTGCGACGCATCGAAGAGTTTGGACTACGCGTCAACAAAACCAAGTCCCAGATAGCCAAAAAGAATGTTACTCTGTTGGGACATAAAGTGGGAAATGGTGAGATTAAACCACTGCCGGAGAAAATTTTGACGATTAAAACGATTCCAGCCCCGAATTCAAAGAGAAAACTGAGACAATTCTTGGGTAGAGCAGCGTTTTATAGCCGCTTCGTGAAGAACTTCAATGAGATAGCAGCCCCTCTATACAGGCTACTAGGTGAGCCAAAGTTTGTTTGGTCGGAAGAATCGCAGAGGACATTCGACAGAATTAAACAGCTGCTCGACCACCAACAAATGACGCTAAAACTACCTGTGCCAGGAAGACAGTTCACAGTGTGCACAGATGCCAGTGACTACGCTATAGGTGCGGTCCTAAGACAGGACGAGGGAATCGTTGAGTATGCCAGTAGGGTTTTGACACTCGCAGAGAGAAAGTATTCAACGATAGAGAAAGAATGTTTAGCAATGGTATGGGCAGTCGACAAATGGAGACCTTATTTACTCGGCCGGCGGTTCCACATCGAAACTGATCATAAGCCGCTACAATTTTTGAAGACAGCGAGAGACCCACGGGGGAAGTTGTCACGGTGGATGTTGCGTCTTCAGGAGTACGATTTTACGATCTCACACGTTCCTGGAAGTGAAAATGTCTTGGCAGATTTGTTATCGAGACCAGAAGATGAGTCTGAGTTGCCCGAGGTCGCTTACGGAGTGCATGCAGTAGAACAAGACCCACTAAGACTTGCACGTAGGCAGAGGTTGGACGATACGCTGAATACAGTAATACAGGTGATCACCAACGGAATAGAAGTGGATCAAACTACGGCGAGTAAGGAGCTAACCACACTACTCAGACAGAGGGATCGACTCAGAGTGAATGCCTACGGGACTCTGACCTGGCGAGAGAACGACGGAAGCTGGCTGGCTGTCATACCTCAATCGTCGCGCCACGACATGATAGAAGAATGTCACCAGCTAGCGCATACAGGCGTGGCCAGAACGACCGATCTCCTAAGACAAAGTATGTACTGGCCAGGTATGAGAGAAGACGTAGCAAGATACGTACTTGGATGTCCACGGTGCCAGCTGATGAAAGGTGACCGGTGTATACGACCACCACTTCAGTCGATTCCAGTTACCGCGATAGGTGACTTGTGGTCCGTAGATGTCATGGGTCCATTTCCTCAGACATCCAATGGTAATCAGTACCTCTTGGTGATGACGGAACACGCGACACGATGGGTAGACGCCGTAGCAATCCCAGACCAACGTGCAAGAACCGTGACAGATGCAGTAGTTAGACACATTGTTGCAGACCACGGCGTACCGAAGACAATACTGACAGACCAAGGTCCCTGTTTCGAGAGTGAAGAGTTTACTTCCCGTTTGCAACAGCTGGGCATCAAGAGGATCAGAACGACCCCATACCATCCACAAACGAATGGCCTAACGGAGAGAAACAACCGTACACTGAAGGAGTGGCTGGCCTCGAAGGGCGGGAACTGGGAAACGGAGCTTCCACTGATTTTACTAACACATCGGGCTACCACTCAGGAAACAACGAAGAAGTCACCCTTCCAACTGATGTATGGTAGAAAACCACGATTACCGGTACACAATGAGACCTGGCCCATGCACCAAAAGTGGAGTACGACGAAATTAAAAGCAGAGAGGAAAGAGGCAGTCAAGAATGTAATACGGAAGCAGCGCAGTGATGTCATGAAGTCTCAGATGAAAGAAAGGACGCAGTGCATTACCTTTGCAGTCGGGGACCAAGTGAAGTGTAGAGACAGGAGATATACAGTTGGAGGCGGGCTAGGTTCACGGAAACTCCTTCCAAAGTGGGAAGGACCATACACAATCACAAAAAGACGGGGTCAAGTATATACCATCCGAAGAGGTGATAAACAGAAACGAGTTAACGCCAGTCAGCTCCAAAGATGGGTACAGTGGGACAAGCCGGTCAGTAACAATCCTCAACTAGAGGATGTAGCACCCAGAAGGTCGGAACGTCTGCGCACGAAGCTATTTGACGGGGGGACGAGTGTGGTGAGAGCAGGCTGCTAGCCGATTGGTTGGCACTAATCTACGTTAAGGTCTAGGTCACTAATATGGGCCGTGAGAAAATATGAACAAGGCTGAGTCAACAACCAATCACAGCAAAGTTAACGTGGCAAAATATGATTCGCAGATAGAGAACTCTATTTGTCAAGGAATCCCGAAACAACCAATCAGAAGCCTGCGTTTGTCTACCTAACTTCTGATAAACAACCAATCAGATGACTGCGCTTGTCTATAATAATGTAGTTGAAATATGTATAAATACGTGTTGATTTTCATAATAAAACGATCTGTTGCTTCGCCCTTGTCTTCTGTTGTTACAGTAGCAATAGTCAACAGAAGATTGAGTACGTCACTAGCCAGAGCGCCCATCCTGAAGCTAAGCTGGCTCTTGTTTATCGGACAACATGCTCCTTGTTGCAGCCAAAAGTCAACAGGTACTCTTCTCATGTTAACTACAACTGTGTATATAAATTTACGTGCATCTGCGGGAGCAGTTACAGTGAACGAAAACAGAAAGAAGGGAACACCTCCGATTTTCTGGAAATGTACCGAAAAGCTTACGCAAAAGTTCAGCTTAAGCACTACTACATACTTGAAAAACACAAAGGTATACACAATAAGTTAAAATACATATGTTTTTACTTACCTGAGCACCATGACGTAGAAGTGCATTAGCGATCTCTAGGTAACCAAAATAAGCACTTATATACAATGGTGATTTATTCTCTTTATTTGTTATATGTACATCAGCTGAATGGCATAATAGGTAATTCACAACTTCACTATGTCCACGACAAGCAGCTAAATAAATCAATGTTCGACCATATTTATCCTGAAAACAAATGGAAAGAAAAATAAAAACTGGGTATATATATATATATATATATATATATATATATATATATATATTTATTAGGGATTATGGATTTCGTAACCTTTCTGACCACAGCACTGGATGAACCAGCTTCTAATCTCAGAAAGGACAAGAGTTCCTTTAAGAAAGCAGATACGCCTTGTTAACTTGTGAGTGCCAACAAGCACGAAACCTAGGGTATAAGGCTTCCTGCCGATTGCCTGCAACAATCTAATACCAACAATTCACACTATACCGTGAGGGAAAGCCAATTAGCCTGATAGTGGTCACATTACAAACTTTACTGATAGAATTCAGTTTGCAGCAAACAAAAGGACTAGACATATGAAATTAGTTACTGCTTAGTGTCCAGTCAAAGAGTATGACGTTCGTTAAAGTTGCTGAGACACCTCAATGATGAATGCCAGCAAACACAAAACCCAGGCAAGAGAGAATTTCCGAAGCATTCCTGACATACGCCTGAGAACCAAAAAACTGAAGGCTCTTGATAAAGTTATTTTATTTTGCTTAGCATCCATAAATACAATATCAAGCTCAGGACCGCCAGGTTACAAGGCGAGTATAGTACTATTTAAGTTTTTAAGGTAGCTATTACCAGCAATACTAAGTGATTCGTTTTGTCACGATTCCATTAGATGTCAGCCAATGGCACTAGTAAGGGACTGGGGATCGCTGAGTTTCAGGCTATTTGGAATATCTTAGGAGAAGGGAATGGAGGATGCCCACCTTCCTATACTTGCGCCAAAGCATATGCATGTGAATTTGCAGACACAGTGTAAAGCGACTTCAGATATGGTACCTGCTCACCTTCGACTGATAAACACAGCACAGTCAGGGCGAATTAATTATTGACAATTTTGATGAATTGACTTTTTCAAGCCTTTTAATCGACATTTCAACTTTTAGTAGTACAATTAAACAGGATTAACCAATTCGCCAGCAATGTATGATAAATTGTTATGTATCATCAATTTTCAGTAACCTATAGCCTAGTTTACTAGGCTATAGAGATCTTTGAAGGAAATTGCGCACCAGGCTGTCTCTCGAGTGGGAAACAGAGAGTTTGGTGTTCGAAGGTGATTTCGAAGAGATCATGTGAGGAGATAAAAGCTGATCAGTAGTTGTGAGGCCAGCTAAAGAGGACTGCAGAGAAGAGGATGAGATGAGGTCCTGTTCCACTGATAACCCAACGGAATAAGAATAATAACAATAATCAGTTTTCAGTATTTATCCATGAATTTACCATTAAGTGTACTGAATAGTTAAATTACTAACCTTTATGTGTAAACATAGTTTTATAATTTAAAATAATACCAGGTAACTGCTACTAACCTGAACATTTAACAATTCAGGATTTGAAAGACGACTTGGAGGTGGTGGTTGTAATGGCAGTGGAGATGATGATGCAGTTGTCAAATGAACAATATTATTATTATTATTATTACTGTTACGACCTGCTAGACCAGGTGAATTAGACGATATAGCCGATGATAACCGAGCATTTGATCCGGTGAGTGTATTGTTAATAGTTTTAGAAGTTGATGTTGTTGTTGTATTACAACACATTGGTTGAACACGTTCCATTAAATAACGTACCATAATCAATGAACCAACATAACAAGCATGATGTAATGCAGTCATACCAACTTTATCAGTTAATGATAGACTAGAACCAGCATTTACTAATGCTATAGCCATATTCAATCCACTTGAACCAGCCTCAGCTGCAATCATTAACGGTGTCATGCCTAAAAAAGAAAAAGGAAAGTATGTGTATGTAGAGTAGAAATGAAATATATAAGTTTATTTAATGCTAATTAATACGCTAAATAGTATGTAAACTAAGTAATACAAGTAAGCATCATTCCTGCAATGACAATTAATGATATTAATTACCCGTCAGAACTACCATATGAGAAGCAGAGTTCAAACCTACTAACATTAAGTTCGTAGAACAAGCAGCTAAAGTTTATTTTATATAAATAATATTATTTAAAATAATCCCAGTCAATTGGTACGTGGTGACTAGCAGTGGAATCGACTATGCGCATTTCGTTCTATTTGGCACTCACGAGCCGGATGTACTTGGGCTCCCCAGTGGATGATGGTGTTCCCACTGGGACTCTAACCCAGTGCCCATAGTTTCAAACGCCAAAGCGTTATCCATTAGACCACTTGGGCCACGAGAGCCACCTCATGTGCAACGGGCCTTATTAATTATTTAATTCTTTCAGATTTTCCCGTCGATTGATTGGACCGAAGTGCTCGGTTTCAGGTTCACATGTCGGCTCCTTGTACAGAGGCTTCGACGATATCTGGTCATGTAACTTGAAGTCAATTGGTCCAAGTCGGTCCAATCAATCGACGGGAAAATCTAAATTGGATTGAAAAATCCCAGTGTTTAGAAAATCAAAACAAGATTTTTCTGAACATTTCGATGTGTAAGCCGCAGCTTCTTTAGCAGTTTACGATATACATAAGAAACTGACACATCCAAATAAACATTTGAATTTCCTAACTGATGTATCCAATAAGCATGAGAATTTCAGTAACTTTGAAATCTCCTACACAGAGCTAGAAAATTTGTGACCGACTGAAAATGGTTAGATAAAGATCTCCAATGTTAAGACAAGTATTGATTGAAAATAGTTATTCAAAAAGTTGCCAAACCATACCTTCAATAAGAATGACAGGAAAGAAAAGAAGATGAGAAAATCCAGGGTGTTAACGATAACCATTCCATATAGTAAAACAGATACAGCTGAACACCTTCAAAGGGTACTTCATTCATATAGTGTTAAGGTCTACTTCTAGCCCTCTAATTCTTTACAGGAAGTTTTGGTCAGTATCAAAGATATATTTCTTCAAATGACACAGATTAATTGCGTCCGCGGGATAAAGTGGAATGTGAGGTTTGTTATATAGGGGAAAGCAGTAGACAGCTGAAGGTTAGAGTGAATGGATATAGAATATCCACAAAACGTCAGGCCTAGAAATGAAGTAGAATTAAAGAGTTTGGAAAAAGATCAGCTACAGAAATGTACACGACAGAAAGTGGACATTGGATTGATTTTCACAGTGTCGAAATACTAGGAAAAGGTTGACCTCTGGAACCTAGAATATTTTTACTAAATAGAATGCAACAAAAAGGAGAGGGGTCAATCCTTATCACCTATATAGTGAACTCCAGTGAAGCCAAACCGATAAAAATTATTTATTACTATTTCCGACCACTGAACAATTACCTTAATTTTCACATGCAACGTAACGTGTTTTCCACACAACAAACAACATGCAGACAAATACACTCAAATGAGATTATGAATACATATGATGGCTAATTACATTTATTCTACTGATACAAATATTTTCTGAGAAGTGATCTTCAAGCAAGTTCACTTTAACTGTTTGCGCCAATTTATGGTTTTCCCGTTGATTGGTTGGAAATTTCTGGCCCCTGTTGACATAAGGCTTTGACGATGTCTGATTAATTAACTCAAAGTAAACTGGTGGATGGTGACTAGCAGTGGGATCCAGGATGAGCATTTCATCCTTTTTGGCCTAAAAACAAATGATAACTGATGCCCGTTACACAAGAAGTGCCTCTCGTGGGGCCCACACAGTGTAGTGGATAACACTAGCATTTGAAACTAGGGTCAAGTCTCAGTGGGGGACAGTACCACTCTTTGGAGGGGGGCAAGTACATCCAGACGATGAGTCTCAAATAGGAAGAAATATGTATGCCCTGGATTACAATGATAGTCAACATCCACTAAATTACTTTAATTTATGTACTTTGTGACTACATATTTTTGCTGGAAGTAATTCTACAGAAGAAGCTGTGGCTTATACACAACAAAATGTCCAAAGAAATCTGTTCTAATTTCCTAAACACCGTGTGATTATTTTGAATAATTTTATAATGATTCAATCTAACTCAGAGCTCAGATTATTCCAAGAAATTCACAACATCTACGGTCTCGGGGTATCTACCATTGTATAGTAGATATTGTTAGTAAAGTAACGTATATCAGAGAAGATAAAATTTCACGCTTTCGTTTTGTTAAACAACATCTGTTGGCGCATCGATAATGTATCAAGTTTGTGGTTTAATAAATCAATTCACTTGGCAGATATGATGAAAATGAACAGCAAAGAGATAATTATAATAAAAGCCATTGGAAACAAAACAGAAGTTTGTTGTTGCTGCTGCTGCTAGGGTATCGTCTATTTTACCTTACAGCTGTCTGGTCATTTCTGTTGAATGTACACACCACCATTAACACAGAAATCTAAAATATGGCTTCACTGATTACTCCTGTTAGGCATGAATGAATAATAATGCGAACCACGTATGTATGAGTCACGCATGATATAACGTCTTATGATACTGTGGTGAGAGCTGGCTGCTAGCCAAAGTTTGTAGACAGTAATTTACGTCAATTTTATGTCCCCAATATTGGTCGTGAGAAAACCTTGCGTAGGCGGATACGGTTAGCATATAGATGATCTGACATCCAAGAAGAAGACACAAAGAGGTGAAAGATTAACTTTCATTGATAAACAACCAATTAGAAGACAGTGATTCTTTGCTAATAATAATCTATAATAATGTACATGAAAATCTATAAATATGTCAAAAATATTCATTCAGATATCTATAAAACACAACATAATCGAGCAAAGAATATTCTTTTCAATAAATTCCTCTTCAGGCTCTACAATTATATACATGTTTATATACACAGAATATTCAAGGTTGGTAGTTAATAACAATATTAGTGTTTTTTAAATAATATCGATTTGTAAAGCAAGATCAATGCAATTACAGTTCACTAAAAATACTTAAATTATAATAGTAATAAAGATATAATAGCGAGTAGGATATCAACTAAAATTAGGAAATTTTCACGAAAATTGAGAATCATTCAAACCTAGATGGCCAAGGTAGGGACAGCGTCTGAACTAACTTCTTTTGGACGCACAAATTAGGCTTTTTAATGTGGATCCCAACAGCCTCAGCAATATTTAGTAATCGAACTCTTAAGGCGAAGTTGAGATTTGTTGGTATCCGATAAATAACTCTGAAAGCTTGATTAACATCAATCCTATGTTCTGTATCCACCAGATGAGCCAAAATAGCGCTACGGATAGATTTTGTTTGGCCTTTGCTTAACCACGCAGGGTGATGTTCGGAAATTCGACGAGAAACACGCCTAATTGTGCGGCCTATGTAACTGGCTCCACAGGAGCAATTAAATTGGTAGATACACATGGATGAGGCGAAATTAGGCAGTTTGTCTTTTACTCCCGAACGCAGAAGAGAAGTAGTCTTAAAGATACAACGTAATTCAGCAGCAGGGAATGCTCGTTTTACCGCGTTTCTAATACGCTGTGCTAGTATTTCGCTAGTGTTGTCCCCAAGGAACTGCATCTGAAAGAATAAGGCCTTTTTTGGAACTGTTGGTAACTTCGGCTGATTTGGTTTCAAATTCATATTCTTATCAATAAACTTTTCAGGATAACCATTCTCACTTAGCAACCGTCTAATATTATTCAGTTCTTCATCAAGACATTCGTCCGAGCAAATCGCTCTTGCTCTGTGAACCAGGCACTTTATCAAATTGCGTTTGTATTTCAAGGGCACAAAACTGAGAAAATGTGTGTACTGGCCCGTTGATGTAGGTTTTCTATATACACTTCTTCTTATTGAGCCATCCTCTTTTCTGGTCATAACGTCTAATATTGTTATTAACTACCAACCTTGAATATTCTGTGTATATAAACATATATATAATTGTAGAGCCTGAAGAGGAATTTATTGAAAAGAATATTCTTTGCTCGATTATGTTGTGTTCTATAAATATGTGTTGAATTGCTTAATAAACGATCTGTCGCCTGGCCGTTGTCTTCTGTTGTTACAATACTACACGATTTTTCTAGCTGACGTAGATAGGTCAGAATTTGATTCCATAACCCAATCTGATTGGACGTCAAGAGTCCAGGATGTCGATGAGTAACATTTTCACTGTGTCCGAGGATTAACAGCATAAAATAATTGACATTTTTTGTGATGATGATCATGTTATAATTCCAAGATTATATATATATATATATATATATATAGTATAATAAGATAAATTCTCAATTAAACAGGTAGATGTGATAGTAAGCAGCAGCACAGTGTAAGCAGTGGAGTAGGCAAGTGAGATTTTTAACTATTGTAGGTTGTAAGTTCGAAACACTTACCAGGATAATTCTTATTATTTCATTACTAAAAGGTGTATATCACAATTCAATAAACATATATCACCCCATGGGGGAACTGTGGTCCATTATGTCACAGTATTACTAAGTAAGATTATTAAAGTAGAGACTTTTTACATTGTGGATACCAAGAAGTGCGCCACACAAAATCTCATAATTTGTACGCAGGCTGTGATGCTGGCCAGACACCCAGACCAGAGCAGGTGACTGTTCTAGGAAACCACCCTCTACCCCGAAGCCCTTAGCCCGATCCCCAAGGTAGTGGAGGAGCGCTCTTACAGTTGACGGTAACTGAAACAGGTTCATACACAGTTCAATTCTTCGACATTCTGTAGCCCATGCATACTACGTGTTTGGAATCAGAGTTTTTCAACTCCTCTAGGTGGACTTATGTGTCCACCAGTTGGGTTGTAAGCGCCAGACATTCGCATCTGCCCTCTCACTTTTGTGAGAGACACTGGTGCCACGTGAAGGCAGTGAATAGGACTAATCTGGTGACAGAAGCTTCGAATGCGTGGCTGTATGAGAGCATGTTGAGACGAAGACCGAAGTATATACACCCTCGGCCCCATTATGTCGTTCATGAGTATGCAGTTCAAAGTTAAGTGAACTAACTTGTGTGTCGATTGAGTTGCACGACAAAAATATAGATCGTTACTGAACAGTTGGTTTTAGTTATTGTATATTCACAAAAATAATCAAGACAACTGACGAAACAAAATATTGGATAATAAAGATACGAAATCAAAACAAGAAATAACTAGAAATGTCTACAAGTAAAAGAATAATTCGAAAGTTCATCAGAAACTACAACAGACAAAACCACGTTGTATTGACGACGAAGAAAAATTAAATAAAAGGGCGTGTTTACCGATCTTATCTGGTCGATCAACATCTAAACGTGGTCGAAGTGCTCCAAAATTCGACTGTAAACAGTTAGTATGATTGAATGAGATTTGAGTTGTTTGTAATGACTGATTATTAGTAGCATTATTCGACAATACTGTAGTTTTACCAAGTATACGTTGTACTCGATCGCAGCTTTGCCACCAACGAGCAACATCTATGAATAAAACCAGTAAGTAAATAAATGAAGCTTTTATCAAAATTAGAGCAAAAGTAATGAAAATAAAAATAAGATTTTGAAGTGGCTTTGTTCTCTGAGTAGCACGCTAGTTTGATTGAGAAGCTTTCATTGTCTATCTCAACGAAATCCTTAGCTCAGACTTCAATATGAAGTGGACTTGCTAGATGGTCTAAAGCATTCAAAAGAAAGACTTTCACCTAGTTTTCACGCTTGTTGCCGCTTACAAGATAGCAAGGAGTGTCTCCAGTCCTGAAGGAACTCATCATCCCCCCCCCACCAAGATTCGCACAAAAGACACAAAGTGAGGGTAATTACATTAGAGTTATTTAGACACGCGATTGAACTCATGTGACACTGTGATGGAAAATTAGCGGGAAATTGTATAAACAGCTTTGAGATAGGAGGCTAACAAGATAAAAGAAAATTCTTAGAAATTAGAAAAACTAAAAGTACACAGTTATGATGAGAAACCCAGGATGGCAACAGCAATGCAAATATGAGTAAAAGAATACACAAAATAATGACAGATTGATATCAGTTAGAGAACCATTGAAAACCAGGGAGTACTGGACAGCTGCTGTTTCATCCTAGTTTGGGAATCATCGCCAGTACGCACCCACTGGGATTCGAACCCAGGACCTTCCGGTTACAAGTCAAGCTCGTATACCATTCAGCCACTGGGACCCGATTCAATGGCTCATGAATTATAACTTCTACCAATTCGTGATCTAGCGAGACCCCAACCATTGTCGTTGGTGGGACATCCATCCACACACGTGACATCTAATTGGACCTCACTGGTCACGACTTCTCACTACAACTCAGGACACTCCAACCTGTAGTAAGTTACTAGCGAGCATCAGATTAATTCTCTATAGTTTGCTTTGTAAGGGTTTGTTATGTTTTACGAGTTGATCACGGATTGATATCAGTTAGAGAACCATTGAAAACCAGGGAGTACTGGACAGCTGCTGTTTCATCCTAGTTTGGGAATCATCGCCAGTACGCACCCACTGGGATTCGAACCCAGGACCTTCCGGTTACAAGTCAAGCTCGTATACCATTCAGCCACTGGGACCCGATTCAATGGCTCATGAATTATAACTTCTACCAATTCTTGATCTAGCGAGACCCCAACCATTGTCGTTGGTGGGACATCCATCCACACACGTGACATCTAATTGGACCTCACTGGTCACGACTTCTCACTACAACTCAGGACACTCCAACCTGTAGTAAGTTACTAGCGAGCATCAGATTAATTCTCTATAGTTTGCTTTGTAAGGGTTTGTTATGTTTTACGAGTTGATCACGGATTGATATCAGTTAGAGAACCATTGAAAACCAGGGAGTACTGGACAGCTGCTGTTTCATCCTAGTTTGGGAATCATCGCCAGTACGCACCCACTGGGATTCGAACCCAGGACCTTCCGGTTACAAGTCAAGCTCGTATACCATTCAGCCACTGGGACCCGATTCAATGGCTCATGAATTATAACTTCTACCAATTCGTGATCTAGCGAGACCCCAACCATTGTCGTTGGTGGGACATCCATCCACACACGTGACATCTAATTGGACCTCACTGGTCACGACTTCTCACTACAACTCAGGACACTCCAACCTGTAGTAAGTTACTAGCGAGCATCAGATTAATTCTCTATAGTTTGCTTTGTAAGGGTTTGTTATGTTTTACGAGTTGATCACGGATTGATATCAGTTAGAGAACCATTGAAAACCAGGGAGTACTGGACAGCTGCTGTTTCATCCTAGTTTGGGAATCATCGCCAGTACGCACCCACTGGGATTCGAACCCAGGACCTTCCGGTTACAAGTCAAGCTCGTATACCATTCAGCCACTGGGACCCGATTCAATGGCTCATGAATTATAACTTCTACCAATTCGTGATCTAGCGAGACCCCAACCATTGTCGTTGGTGGGACATCCATCCACACACGTGACATCTAATTGGACCTCACTGGTCACGACTTCTCACTACAACTCAGGACACTCCAACCTGTAGTAAGTTACTAGCGAGCATCAGATTAATTCTCTATAGTTTGCTTTGTAAGGGTTTGTTATGTTTTACGAGTTGATCACGGATTGATATCAGTTAGAGAACCATTGAAAACCAGGGAGTACTGGACAGCTGCTGTTTCATCCTAGTTTGGGAATCATCGCCAGTACGCACCCACTGGGATTCGAACCCAGGACCTTCCGGTTACAAGTCAAGCTCGTATACCATTCAGCCACTGGGACCCGATTCAATGGCTCATGAATTATAACTTCTACCAATTCGTGATCTAGCGAGACCCCAACCATTGTCGTTGGTGGGACATCCATCCACACACGTGACATCTAATTGGACCTCACTGGTCACGACTTCTCACTACAACTCAGGACACTCCAACCTGTAGTAAGTTACTAGCGAGCATCAGATTAATTCTCTATAGTTTGCTTTGTAAGGGTTTGTTATGTTTTACGAGTTGATCACGGATTGATATCAGTTAGAGAACCATTGAAAACCAGGGAGTACTGGACAGCTGCTGTTTCATCCTAGTTTGGGAATCATCGCCAGTACGCACCCACTGGGATTCGAACCCAGGACCTTCCGGTTACAAGTCAAGCTCGTATACCATTCAGCCACTGGGACCCGATTCAATGGCTCATGAATTATAACTTCTACCAATTCGTGATCTAGCGAGACCCCAACCATTGTCGTTGGTGGGACATCCATCCACACACGTGACATCTAATTGGACCTCACTGGTCACGACTTCTCACTACAACTCAGGACACTCCAACCTGTAGTAAGTTACTAGCGAGCATCAGATTAATTCTCTATAGTTTGCTTTGTAAGGGTTTGTTATGTTTTACGAGTTGATCACGGATTGATATCAGTTAGAGAACCATTGAAAACCAGGGAGTACTGGACAGCTGCTGTTTCATCCTAGTTTGGGAATCATCGCCAGTACGCACCCACTGGGATTCGAACCCAGGACCTTCCGGTTACAAGTCAAGCTCGTATACCATTCAGCCACTGGGACCCGATTCAATGGCTCATGAATTATAACTTCTACCAATTCGTGATCTAGCGAGACCCCAACCATTGTCGTTGGTGGGACATCCATCCACACACGTGACATCTAATTGGACCTCACTGGTCACGACTTCTCACTACAACTCAGGACACTCCAACCTGTAGTAAGTTACTAGCGAGCATCAGATTAATTCTCTATAGTTTGCTTTGTAAGGGTTTGTTATGTTTTACGAGTTGATCACGGATTGATATCAGTTAGAGAACCATTGAAAACCAGGGAGTACTGGACAGCTGCTGTTTCATCCTAGTTTGGGAATCATCGCCAGTACGCACCCACTGGGATTCGAACCCAGGACCTTCCGGTTACAAGTCAAGCTCGTATACCATTCAGCCACTGGGACCCGATTCAATGGCTCATGAATTATAACTTCTACCAATTCGTGATCTAGCGAGACCCCAACCATTGTCGTTGGTGGGACATCCATCCACACACGTGACATCTAATTGGACCTCACTGGTCACGACTTCTCACTACAACTCAGGACACTCCAACCTGTAGTAAGTTACTAGCGAGCATCAGATTAATTCTCTATAGTTTGCTTTGTAAGGGTTTGTTATGTTTTACGAGTTGATCACGGATTGATATCAGTTAGAGAACCATTGAAAACCAGGGAGTACTGGACAGCTGCTGTTTCATCCTAGTTTGGGAATCATCGCCAGTACGCACCCACTGGGATTCGAACCCAGGACCTTCCGGTTACAAGTCAAGCTCGTATACCATTCAGCCACTGGGACCCGATTCAATGGCTCATGAATTATAACTTCTACCAATTCGTGATCTAGCGAGACCCCAACCATTGTCGTTGGTGGGACATCCATCCACACACGTGACATCTAATTGGACCTCACTGGTCACGACTTCTCACTACAACTCAGGACACTCCAACCTGTAGTAAGTTACTAGCGAGCATCAGATTAATTCTCTATAGTTTGCTTTGTAAGGGTTTGTTATGTTTTACGAGTTGATCACGGATTGATATCAGTTAGAGAACCATTGAAAACCAGGGAGTACTGGACAGCTGCTGTTTCATCCTAGTTTGGGAATCATCGCCAGTACGCACCCACTGGGATTCGAACCCAGGACCTTCCGGTTACAAGTCAAGCTCGTATACCATTCAGCCACTGGGACCCGATTCAATGGCTCATGAATTATAACTTCTACCAATTCGTGATCTAGCGAGACCCCAACCATTGTCGTTGGTGGGACATCCATCCACACACGTGACATCTAATTGGACCTCACTGGTCACGACTTCTCACTACAACTCAGGACACTCCAACCTGTAGTAAGTTACTAGCGAGCATCAGATTAATTCTCTATAGTTTGCTTTGTAAGGGTTTGTTATGTTTTACGAGTTGATCACGGATTGATATCAGTTAGAGAACCATTGAAAACCAGGGAGTACTGGACAGCTGCTGTTTCATCCTAGTTTGGGAATCATCGCCAGTACGCACCCACTGGGATTCGAACCCAGGACCTTCCGGTTACAAGTCAAGCTCGTATACCATTCAGCCACTGGGACCCGATTCAATGGCTCATGAATTATAACTTCTACCAATTCGTGATCTAGCGAGACCCCAACCATTGTCGTTGGTGGGACATCCATCCACACACGTGACATCTAATTGGACCTCACTGGTCACGACTTCTCACTACAACTCAGGACACTCCAACCTGTAGTAAGTTACTAGCGAGCATCAGATTAATTCTCTATAGTTTGCTTTGTAAGGGTTTGTTATGTTTTACGAGTTGATCACGGATTGATATCAGTTAGAGAACCATTGAAAACCAGGGAGTACTGGACAGCTGCTGTTTCATCCTAGTTTGGGAATCATCGCCAGTACGCACCCACTGGGATTCGAACCCAGGACCTT